ATATTGCTCTGACGGGCACAAAGGAAATGAAAGGCGGATGAGCTAGCCCGACAGGGTGCAGCCAATGGCCTTATAGGCCCACAAGCTTTCTGCGGCGTGACGGGAAACAGTTCATAAGAAATTGGACCAAGGAAAAACCGCTAGAATGGTGGATCAGCCAATTGGGTCAAAGGCAGGCAAAAAAGTTCATCAAAGAACGAAGGCCCGCTTTATAGAGGACCTGCTCGGAGTCAATAGGAAGGTCATAAGGGCCATAGTGGGTCTCCTGACAGGACACTGTGGTCTAAATTGACATTTGAGAATCTTGGGTCAGAAGATGCCACATGCCGTTTCTGCGGAGAGCATTAGGAAACCCCAGTGCATCTCCTGTGTCACTATGAGGGCCTGGCAAGGCTACGGTTTCAGATAGTAGGAACAACAGCGGAAAGCTACATGGAAGGCCCTGTGTCAAGGCTATGGAGTCTGATCAAAGGATCAAGGCTGGACACAGTGCTTTAGATATGTAGGGGGGTCAGAATAGATTCACTTGGATCACAGGCTGGCAAGTAAACCCCTTACTTCTGTAATCGGTAAATGCCTTTATGGTCTCCTTGATTTACATAGTTTTTTCCTGTCCTTGACCATGAAGGCGTCCTACAATAATTGAATCTCTCATGTCAGTGTCAAAAACGGCCACCATTTCTGCGGAGAAAATCGCATGCAAATTCCCCTAGTACAACGGTGATAGAGGTTTTAGGGCCGTACCGTCAGTCGTTCCTGCAACTATTGTAGGACACCTTTATGACCTTGATTTTCATAGCATTTCCCGTCATTCAGAAAGGCGCTGTATTTTGATGTTTATCATCTTTTATCAGCAAAAAAAATTCCTACAATTAAAAAAGAAAACATGACTAGGAGAGCGCTGACGCTAACACGGAATAGTAGAAATCTAGAAATACCCCAGCCTTTCTAAAGGGGAGAAAATACTTGAAATCAAGGATACCATAAAGGTGTCCTACAATTCTTGCCAGGTACCATGCCAGCGGCCGCAGGTATTCTTCGCAATAGTAGAATAATATGATCTAGTGTAGTTTGTGTGAATCAATAATAGAACGGAATATGTCCGTAAATAATAGTTTAAAAAAACAAAAAAATACGCTTTTATAGCTAACCGAACTAAGTGGAACATAATTTTTAATTGCAAAAGCGTTTATATTACAGTAGTAGATGGTCGAACAATCATAATTAAAGACCTCAAAATAAAATTATAATAAAATCTTTAATTTTTAATAGAATAATTAAATTCAGAGTAAAAAGCGTGGGATGCTTGATGTATTAAATGTTACAATCATTCTATTGGCAACTATCTATCAGAGGAAAGTTATGAGAATGTAGCAAAATGCACCCCACGCTTTTTGCTCTGAATTGAATTATTCTGTTAATAACCTAAATTTTATTATAATTTTATTATGAGCTCATTAATTATCATTAACTGTTCGACCATCTACTACTGTAATATAAACTCTTTGTAATGAAAAATTATTTTCTACTTTTTAGTTTGGTTAGCTATAAAAGCGTTTTTTAGTTTTTTTAAACTATTATTCATTTTTCATTTTTTAGTTTATTGTGGACATGTGGTATTGAAATGTCTTACGAATCATTTCGTAATCTAATCATTTCATTTAAACCGTCAGTGCTGCATGGGATTTTTCCTGTTAACTCAGAGCAATCAAGTTCTTCAATCCGAAGACCGTCTAAAGATCTTACCCGACTAAGTGCTAAATAAGCTAAATAAGCAGTCACGAGCCTAGATAAATGACTGAGACTGTACAACCTTGCATCTTAGTGGCGACATTCGCAATGAACAAGGTGAGAATGCGCTACCTTGAAAAAGTATCTGCCTCCGTTGTGCAGTGCCGAGTGCCCGAACAAAAAAGAGTATGACCGAAACTGCTCGCATGCGCAGATCTTGCGCTAGCTCTGTCTCTCTTACTCCCTGCTAAAGGCTTCAAAATAAATTTTTAATGGTGGAAGTATTTACAATAACCGGAAAAATATTCTCTTTTGCTATGTATTCTACACTGCAGCCATATCATCAATCAATTGCATTTTCAATGTAAACAGACCAATACACTCCCAAGAATTTCGCCGCGGAAAAAACGAGAGCAAACCACAAGCAATGTGACAACCAACGCAATCTAACCTGACCCTTTTGACAACAACTTCTCAATTAGAATGCTTCTACATACAGGGCGAGCCTTTAATGTTCAATGTATTCATAGCTCCGATTATAAGTACCTAAAAAAGTTAAGTTATAAAAATTGTATGCAGCTATACGCTCATTATTAGGAAAATATGCCGCTTTCCACAGGGTGATTCATATCTACATGATAACACAAACATATATTTTTCAAATGACTGGTGTCCGCAAAGTTTGGTTTTTCCTTTACACGACGTGTAGATCTTGAGAAAATAAGTAATTTTCTTAGTAGCATATACACCTATGTCTTAAGAGAACCGAGGTATTAGGCTGGGCAGACTCAATCAAACCTGAACCAAATCGAAGCCGGTCTCATCCCTCGATCACGTCCACAGCGCCAGCGTTCAGTTATATGACGTACGACTACGATGTAAATACGCTAGTATGCAACTTAACCTAGACGCCGATAGTGTATGTCAACAAACCATTACATTGGCAACCGATTGCTGTTCAAAAAATAAAAAAAAAATGGCACACACACCAACAGCGAACTAGTCGACATGCTGTTAATTTACGGTGAGCGTTTTCAAAATGCGACCGAGGCTTCGCGAGTGTATGCCGATCGTTTTCCCAGAAGTTATCATCCAAGGCCCCGTAGATTTGTTTACCTTGTGCAGGGACTCAGGGATACGGGTCGTTTGGAGGAACATCGAGGTGGACACAGTGGGACACCTATACAACCTCGAATGCTGCAAACTGAGGAAAAAGTATTGAATCTCGTAGACGGGAATCCTTCAACAAGCACTAGGGACGTGGCTAGACAAGAGCAAGTGTCGAAGACTAAAGTCTGGCAAACGCTGCATGATGAGGGATTGTACCCATTTCACGTAAAAAGCCCTCCGAGCTGAGAATTTTCTTGCAAGAGTACGGTTTTCTGACTGGTTGTCGCACCAACATGACAATAGTCCGGACTCATATGTGGTCAGTAGAAAGTCCTCACGCTGTTCGTCGGTCACACTCTCAACAAACATTTTTTGTGAATGTTTGGGCTGGCATGGTAAACGGCATGCTCATTGGACCATTTATTCTCCCGAATCGGTTGTATGGGATACAATCCCTAGACTTTTTAAAGGTACATTTTACCACCCTGCTAGAAGATGTGCCCTTGAGTGTAAGACAATCAATGTGGTTTCTCCAAGACGGTGCACCGTCCCATTTTAGATGCGAAGTGCGTGAGTTCTCAAATGAATCATTTCCGAATAGGTGGATCGGACGTAATGAACCCGTAGCATGGCCTCCGCGATCTCCAGACTTAACACAGTGTGACTTTTTTCTTTAGGGTCTGATAATTGAGCCAGCTGCTCTATTCAATCGGGGAAGGGACTCCACTCTAAAAGCATACACATGTGTTTTTGATTCCAACGGCGACAACTTCGAACAGTACTTATAAAATACGTTCACCAAGAAAAAGTCACACCGACGTCATATCTCTTTTTTGTTACATGAGCTCCTCGGATTTTATGACAGAGCCGTACTTGGAATTTCAATTCAACTAAACAGGGAGTACTTTTAATTTTTTTTTTGCTTGTTTGCTCACGTTTCACCACACATTAGCTTTGTTATATCAAGCAAATTTGTATCTGAAAAGGAAAACTCCAACTTTGCGGACAACCTGTATATTTTAGTATATTTTAAAATGCCTCTTCAATAGAAGAATTTTGATATAGCATAACATAGTTTGTACTGCTACTGATTCTAATGAGTTGCCAAAAAGCACAAAACATCTGTCCATGGTTGACTGTCAAAACCAATGTTTAGATGGTAGCTATTCTTCGTGTTTTTCATTTCAGAGAAAAATATCGATGACTGTTTCAATCAAAAGCAAGTCCTTGTTCAGTCGACTCAGAATCGATGAGTTTTCTCGACGAGTGTCCAATTCCATGGCCACACGCTAAGAGTAAGGTGCAAACACTGCGAGCAGTTACCGATACAGCAGAAAGAGCAGTCAAGTTAATGCAAGGCTTCCATGGCTTAATAATCACTGCTGATGAGGAACAAAAACATTTTTTATTACATTGCGTACAAGAACACTGGCAGCTATATCTTGATCTGTGACGCTGTCTTATTGCGATAGGTTCTAACTTGTGTTGAACATATCCTTTTATGAACAGATGATGGCATTGCGAGGGAAGTGCAGGTCAACCTACTTGACGCCATCAACGAACCAAAACATGAAAAATGATTTAGGTAATTTTTTTCCAAATTGTGGATACTGGTCAAAAATGTTCATGAAAATAACGCATATCCAGTTTTGCGGTTAGGACTACGCTCACTAGCGGCTAAAAGATAACTTCGCGGACCGCTAGCGCCTTAAGTTTCATTACTTTTTAAAAAATGCTTCCCCCCATCAATGATGCAAAATGAAAAAAATATGTAGATAAAGTTTCCAAATTGCCCATTCTATGCAGAAAATACATTTTGAATATGTTTTGTTTAAAAATATTTTTGATAAAAACGCAATTTTGTGTGTTGAGGTTAGTGGTACAATCCCATTTTAGGAAATGGAAACTAGTCCGTAGCAATTTTCCATGGCCACTTATATTTTTCCGGTGTAGTTCTAAGTGCTTCATAAGATACCACATGTCTCCATTTGTTCTGAATCACCCTGTATAAGTGCTCTACCAGGGTACCCATTCAGGTAACACTTTTTAAATCTAATCTTTTACCACTTGTAGTTGAAGTTTCACTGCAAGAATGGAATCCAAGGTTCAACATGCTAACCTCCCTACAATAGACCCAAAAAAAGGCGTTGTTATTTCTTGTGAAGTATGTATTTGATATTCAACAACACAACATGCACAGTTCTATATACATATATATTTTCTTTATATATGTAAATAAAAACAGTAACTGTTTATTCCAAAGTTACTTCAAAGCCTAATCAATTAGGAAACCTTTGCAAGTTATTACCTACAAATTACTCATACAAATACCATATTCAAAACAAAATACACAGATTAACCCAATTAAGAGTGAACTAAACTAAATACGTCAATTATCTCTTGTCGGACCATCACCTGTTTTATCTGACTTCATTTCCAGCTTGCAAGTGGTAGGTTCTTCTTTAGTATCGCTCTCCTTTTTTATTTCAGCTTCTTTACTCTCTTTTTCCCTTTCTCTCTCCCATCGTGACTTTGCATCATCGTGTTTCTTGTCTTTTTCTTCCTTCTCCTTCTTGTAACTCTCCTCCTTGGTCGATGAGCTCCTTAAAACTGGCTCTACTTTATCCCGGATCTCGACCAAAGTTGTGTAGAAAACTTTAGAATTAGACTGAAAAATAAACATGATTTGTAAAATCTAAAAAATTCTGTATACACCGCGGAAATGGTGTAATACTCTTTTAAGTCGTTAGACATTGAATAACTTATTGAAACTAGCTTGACCCAAGTAGCACAGGACATTGGCTGAACATTGTTTTTATATTGGATGAATATTCATATATTGGCACTAGCATTCCAATCAAACACCAATATCTGCTCTACATAGGCTAAACTTTTTAAAATAAAACATTTGGTTTTTGCCTTTAGCCAATATCAACCAACATGTTATTTTGCAATATTGGAAGGTAGATTATTGACACAACATTGTAACTGCGTTCGTAAGCACAATATTATAGGTAGATGTTGGCTAAATATTGTATTGATAGCGGAGGTGCAATATTGTTGAAACATACATTGGCTAAATATTGTTTCTTCCTATAAGAACACTAATATTGTCAACCAATATCACCCCAATGTTGATTTTTAATCGTTCAGCGAATATTCGTAATCTTATGTTTGTCGTATATTTGCTAAATTTTTAGAAAATACATTTGGTTATCCCTTTTGGGCTAAATTGGATCAATATGTTATTTTGCCATATTGCAGAATATACGCTAAAATGTCATTACGCTACACTTGCAGACATTCTTCGTGAATATCGCAAGGTGTACATCCTGGGCTGGAACGTTTATTCGAGGAGTCTGAGAACTCACAAGACTCAGAAGTTGCTGACCAATTGCTGGCAGTGAACAAGATAGTTGAACAATATAGTAAATGCGGTAGAATAATTGTATTATAAACTATTTTCTTGGAATATGTACTAAGACTATGAGAAGCCCTATAAAAGTAATTTGTTTTTTTGGCAATTTTTATAGTGATCCTCAAACTTTAGTTTACTATCGATATATATATATATATATATATATATATATATATATATACCTAAATATTTAATTGATTCAACATTTTCAATTATTTCTCCACTTATCCTAACTGTGATAGTATTCAATTTTAGTTTATTTACATTTAACCAATTTACGATTTTTGTCAAGTCAGAATTTAGCATTTTTATCATCTGCAAATATCTGAAGTTTACAATAATCTATAATATTACAAATGTAATTAATGTATAAAATAAATAATAGTGGACCTAGTTTACTACCTTGTGGTATACCAACAGAAATATTTTTTGTCTTAATAATGTAGATCCAATTTTGGTTATTTGACTTCGGCGAATTAAATAGTTCTGTAGAATTTTGAATACAGATCCTTAGATCCGTAGTTTGTAAATAGTTTATTCCTCTCAATAGTCTCAAAAGCCCTTTTGAAGTCCAAAAACACTGTTACTGTATGTTTCTGATTGTCGATACATCTCCTCCAGTCCTCTAAAACCATTTGTGTTGCCGTTTTAGTTGAGTGTTTCTTCCTGAACACAGCTTGAAATTGGTGTACAACTCAGAATTCTTAACTTTAGAAACAGGAGTTATGGTAGAACACTTAGTTTTGTTGGAAATTCGCCATATTTTAAACAGTAATTTATCAGGATTAATATTCTTGCTCCAATAATATCAAAACATTCATTAAGCACACTTTTAGACAAAATCTCACTCTTATTTTGACTTGATTCTTGATATAATCTTCTTGAGACAATTAATGTTTGTTGTTCTAAACTCACTGAATGATGCATTATAATCTGAGCTAATGGGACATTGGTTGGGATCCCCGTCAATAATTGATTATACAATGCCGTTGTCACTTTCTATGAAATAGGTATTCATTCGATCTGCTATTATTTCTTCATTTGTTATTACCCCATCGTCGAATTTCATTTTAGATAATGTACTTGTTCTAATAGGAGAAACAATGTTTTTCAACGTTTTCCACATATGTTTGCTATTATTTTTACTCTGATCAATTTTGGCATTGGAATATTTTTTCTTTTCATCTCGTAGAACTGCTACAGATTGGTTTCTTGATCTTGTGTATTCTATCCGATCATTTTCACTTCCAGTAATCATAAACTTCTTATAATTGTAGTCTCTTTTTAATTTAGAATTCTTGAACGTCTGCGAGAATCAAGGTGTTGGATTTTTCCTTTTATCAATTGTCGTCTTGACTGTAGCTTCTTTTATGCAAACTTCAACATTACCCAATAGGCTTGTATAATAGCTATCAACATCAACAAACGCTTCGGTCATATCTTGAGGTAAAAGAGTTTCTCGTAATTTTACATAGTTATTATTAGTAATTTCTTCCACTTTGTTAGCATCAAATTTACTTTCAACTTCAAAAGATATTGATGAATGATCATTGATCTTAGGAGTATGCATAACTTTTGCAATTAAATTTTGTTCGTTGATTATTATTTTTACGATATAATCCCTTATCACAATTTCTATAATTTTATTATAAACTCAAATAGCTTCACAACGATTGATGATAGGTATAAAGTTTATTATACAAAAGTTACTAAAACCTTCACAGAGAATCTGAAAATTTAAAAAATGGGGGTTTCCATTTAAAAATCCAAAGTGTAACGCAATATCTTATTTTTTGGAGGACCCTGAAATATAGATGAAAAGACGTCCCTCTAGAAATCAAAATTGACTTGTCTAACCGTTTTTCCCAAAATGTACCAGGAGAGTCACAAATCGGGGTGCGACCACCCTGTACAATTGATATAGTGATATTTTTGTTTTATTTTGTTTGCCATTTACTTTTTTTGTGTCATTGTTTTGTGCAGTAAGTGCTGCTTACTGGTGACATACGAGTACAGTCAAATCCATACGCTGAATGTACAATGTACACTGCGTTTTATGAATAAACTGGATTCTGTGAAACTTGGGAAAATAGTTCTCTGCAACTTCACGTCTCCCGTGTAATTTCAAATTTTAATTCAGCGTGAAGTGAAAAGATTGGCTCTCCTTTGGAGCTGATAGTTTTTCACAAGTGATAGAGAAAAATGATGGGGAAAAATTGAGAGTTGATAGTATGAGCTAAGATCAAATGCTGTGCGCAGATCTCTGCATCATCAGAATCTGTATCACAACGGATTAATCCGGAATTCATCGTTTCTTAAATGTTATGAATTCCTTTTCAAACCGCATTTACGCTGTATCAAAACAAACACGGTTGTTCGATCCTCTAATTCTTGTACTCATATTGGCTTATTGCGGCGTGTCTAGCTTAATAATCAATAGTTACCCGAGAATTTGGCGATGGCGCCGCACGGCAGCGAAACGTCAAAAAAAAAACAAAATGTCATCTTGCAGAATAGGTAGTTTTTAGGGTGCAAATAATTCATTCCACGTTTACACGCTATGATCGCTGTGAGCGTCCATCTATGAAGGAAACGCTCAACTACCAAGCCGAGTAGTCTATAGTATTCATCTCTGAGAAGAAAGTTGGTTGAATAACAAGATCGCATCTGGATGGTTGTGTGTACTCGTATTGGTCTGCATCTATATAAAATCAGTGATATTTGCTGTTTGAGAAAATCATTACATTTTTTTGTTTTCAAAAACCTTGAGGAGAATTACGGGAAATCACCACCGCGCCCTCATTGTGTGTAACTACTGATAGCATGTATATGACTTGCAATTCGACAGTGTCCAATGAATATAATTATTTCTTATTTCTCTCATTTTTTAAATTCAGCAAATTTGCATATGTACTTTCCAGAATGGATAAGAAAAAGTGGATGCGCAACTAATTTCGAGCTTAGAATCTCAAGTAAGTGTATTTGAGACAAGAATCCAATGGATTTATCATCACATATTATTAGCACACAAATCCTCACTGTGCCGTTACCTCCAGTAATGCCATCTCTGATGCAGATTTTACATCACATCAGAGCCAAACATTTATAACTGAAGCCTCATGACATTTAGGCAATACGTACAACAGCAAAACGAGTTCACAACGTGTCCATCAGCTAGTGCTAAGTTAACATCTACATAACGTCTCAGAAAACCTATAATGTCAAAAAACGACATAATGTCACTTTTCAAGATACGATGTTTTGATGCAGTGTAAATGAGTTCTTCGTGAACGCGTTACGGCCAACGTATTTACCAAAATTTACCCACCAAAATATAACCGATCATATAACCAAAAAATGAACGGTCGTTAAGCCAATAATACCGATATATCACTATCGGCGAAAATTATATACAGGATGTTTTCAAAGTTGAGTCATTTAAACAACTTGTAGAACTCGTCAAAGGAGGTTGATATACCAAAAACTCACCTAAATAAAAGTTGCATAATAAGAGAGTTAGTTTACATTAAAAAGATTTTACAAAAACTGTTCATAACTGTTCCATTTGTTCGATTAACGCAAAATCTTACTCGGCGAATCCACGACTCTTTACAAGCTTCGAAAATAAAATCCTGGTGTCCACGGATTAAATCACAAGCATTTTTAATGTCCTGTTGAAGTTCTTCCAGAGTATTTACTGCTCCATCATGACACAGCAACTCCTTCAGATAGCCCCAGAGAAAAAATCGCAAGGCGTTAAATCCGGCGAGCGAGCAGGCCAAGAAATGGATCCATTGCGCTCTATCCATCTATTCGGAAACTCATTATTTCTCTTCTCCTCTAAAATGTGGTGGAGTCACATCATGTAGGAACCACATATTCTGACTCACATTTAGAATAAATTTTACCGGTCAGTCGAGGTGGAAAAATTAGGGTCCAATAAGCATGTCATTTACCACGCCAGCCCAAACATTTAATGAAAATCTATGTTGAAATTGAGTTCTTTTTACAGCATGTGGATTTTCTACTGTAAAAGCATGATTGTTGTGGTAAATAGTGCACTCCATCTCGTGTAAATGTTGCCTCGTCTGTACACAAAATTAATTTCGTAAAATCTTCATTTCAGCTGAACGAACTGTTCTAAATGCAACTGTTCCAGGATGATCTTCAGGTTGTAAAGCTTGTACCCTTGATAATGATAATACTGTTCTTGTCGTATTACCTTCTACACTTTACTACGAGAAATTTCAACTGCTGCTGCTATGGCTCTAGTACTCACTGTTGGGTCGTCGTCGGCCATTTCTAAAATCTCTTCATAAATTTGTAACATTTCAGGTTGAGCAGGTCTTCCAGCGTGACCTACTCGTTGTTCTTTTAAATATCATGTGTCACGTGTCTAATAACTAAATTTACAAACATCCGTGGGGCCGGATGATAAAGGAAACCTTTCCGCATACAACCTGCTTGCTGCGGTTGCATTTTTTTGGCACTCTCCGTGTGTTAGTGTTATGTCCACTAGTTCATTGTTTTCTTAAACATGGGCCATAGCCAGACAAATGAAAGTATACGTACTATTCAATAAGAATGATTGATACAAATGATCGAATCAAAGACTACTGAAAACCATACAATAACAAAAAAGTTTGCCAAATTTAGATAAACGGCAAGAGTAAACAAAAAAGATTTTACACGGCAGTAGTCGAGAATATAAAAAAATCTGTGTAATAACATCCTTACTTTTTAAATTTTTTTATCTTTTACTATTTATTTTATTATGCAACTTTTATATAGGTGATTTTTGGTTTATCAACTGCTTTTGACAAGCCCTGCAAGCAGTTAAAATAAATGTATAAATGATGCATTTAGTTAAACTTTAAATTTTACTAAACATCTTCGAAAGTACTTACTGAAATCTTGCTTAGCATGTCTTCGGTATTTCGAACTTTATCTTTATACTCTTTCAGCTCTGAATTCAAATGCTTTATCGTCGAACTGGATTTGCTGTATTTATCTTGCAACCTTTGATTATCGCTCTTCAAGTCCACCATCCTAGATTCTGTGTCCAATCTCGCCTTTTCACTTCTTTCTAACTGGGCCATCAAATTTCCAACATCAACCAATGAGCCATTGAACATTACAAAACCTGAAAGGCAAGTTGACTTTATTATTTTCAACTATTGTTTTATGATCAATAACTTATGATAATATGACCTAATACAATTACTGATTATTAGAAAATATGTCCCAGGTATACTGCAAGCAAATCACAAATTACATTGTATTCCCTCCTCCGTTCCAAGAAGGAAAGGAATTCGCATTAAAAATTCGTGCTGGAAACAAATTTTTGAAAACGATAAAGTGGAATAACTAATAAAAAGTATGAGTGGTTCTACTACTTTTCGAGAAAGCGCTTTCTTTAAGGTTTCTTTGATAGAAAAGTCTCTCTTAATATTCTTAATAAAGAGCAGGATAAAAGGTAGTAGTCTAATGATATACTCAGTGACATTAGAAGTGTTACACCCAGAAAAAAATAATTTCTTCAACTTGTTTTTTCGGGAACATAATGAGTATACTTAAAGCATGCTATGGCGACAAAGTCAACATTTTATCGTTGTTTTTGTTTACCTTTGTTAAAATGTTATATCTTAGTTTTTGTGAAGAAAGCAGTTTTGAGAGCTGACTAGTACAGATATTTTCAGTTATTGCCCTTTCATTTACTAGTGTTAAGCATAACAAAATGCCTCGAGGAAGACGTCCAAATTATCACCATGTTAGCGACTTTGACAGGGGTAGAATTATTACCTATCGAGATGTTGGTTTGTCCTATCGCGAAATTGGTCGACGTGTTAATTGTATTGCAATGACCGTAATGCGTGTGTGTCGTGTGTGGATAGAAGAAGATAAAGGAGCACGAAGAAGGCCACTCAATCGCCGCATTCGAGACTTTGGACTTTTTTCATACCGTCCACGGTAAGTGGTTCTTCTGACAGCGGACCACTGTCGTCAACGTTTGAACTGAAGCAGAGAACGACAACATTGGGAGGCCGAATGGCATAATGTCATAATGAGCGACGAATCGCGATTCTGTCTAGGTACGCAAGATGGTCGTAGAAGGGTAAGACGCCGCCGTGGAGAGCGGCGTGATATTGGATTTGCTGTTGAGAGGTTTGTACACAGGACTGCTGGAGTAATGGTATGGGGGGCTACTGCCTATGGTAGCCGATCACCCCTCCTCTTCATTCAAGGCAATATGACTGCAGCGCGTTAAGTTTATGATGTCCCACAAACCACTTTACTGCCGAATCTAGAGGGCCGTCGACACGTACTTTTTCAGCAAGACAACGCACGTCTCCGTATTGCTCGTCTTACTGCGGACTTTCTTCAAGAAGCAGACGTTAATATTTTTTTGTGGCCGGATTTAAATCCCATCGAACATGTGTGGGGATATGATGGGGAGGAGAGTATCCACACACCAGACGTCAATCATCTCATTTTGTCGATGCCTAGACGTATACAGGAGTGCATTCAGCTGCGGGGTCGCGCAACACATTAATTTTTTTCTTATTACTTGTCAATAAAATTTCGTGATAATGTTATCGTTTCATTGTTGATGTAAGACTACCTCATTGCCAAAAATTCAAGTTGAAGAAATTATTTTTTCTGGGTGTAACACTTCTAATGTCACTGCGTATATTAGCAAATTTGCCGGAAAGAATTGTTAAGTTTGGTTTTATTGACGCAAGTTGTTTAAGGGGGTATTTAAAACATGGACGCATACAATGTGTACACTAATTTTTGTGGGAAAACTTTTTATTCGACAACAAAAAATGAGTAATCGTGTTTTTGAGATTAAATCAACAGTCTTGGCAGGAACGAAAAAACTCTCGATATTTACGAGACCTACAAAATGTATACACAGTTAGAGCTGTAATTTTTACACCGTACAGATGAGCCTTAAAGTTGATACAAAAATGCATACTGAAATGCACTGAACTGTTTATACAGATAGCACGCAAACTGAAGATACAATTATATTTCAAATTGTCTTAGCCTAGTTAGTATGTAGCATGTGCTAAATGGCTACATTATTGATGACTGCATAACTTTGTCAAATAAGTAGGTTACGTAATTCAGTTTCTTTACGAAGAGATATAATTCCCTGGGCCTTTTTTTCTAAAAGTACTAATAAAGTATACGTTTGTGTTCGAATTTTAGCACGATTAAAATGACTGCGAGCTCAAAATACTGGAAAATAAACGCGAGAAAACGAAAACTTTAAAACCATTTCGCAAACGGTATTTTCGTCTAATATGATTAGACTATAGGAGTCTCGTCGTCGTTCATCAATCCCAACACTAACAAAGAAGTAAACTTTGTGATAAAACAATGATAACTGGATGCAGTCACAAACGTAATTTGATTAACGTCAAAGGGAAAAAAAACAAAAAGTAATTGAACTACGCCCACTTTGTATAGCTTTAGTCCCATGTTTGCCATCCTGGTATTTTTGTGTGTATATACTATATGGTATTGAGGAAGGTATATTAAAATTTCAGCCAAGATGAACGGAAAAAAGTGTGTCCCGTAAAATGTTTCGCAACTGCAATACTTTTCAAATCGAAAGTTAGGTGTAAGAGTAGCTTTAAGCTAAGTCTCGCATTAAACTGATGGATAGTTGCTTTGCATCATGGAAGATTTTACCCAAATTCAAATCTCGATATTTTCGGGACGGAAAGAGATATCGAGTTGCGGCATGCGGGAGGTTCTTGACCAACTCTTCGAAAACACGTACAGGGTTCGACCAGTATACTTTTTTCATTCATCCACTCATACAGTGTGAGCCAAGGAAGTTATGATTTTTAGCAGAGTTTAGGGCTATGTCGAATTCTCAATTGGAAACTTTTCTTTGCATATTTTTGATCTTTAGACTATTCTAAAAAAGTAATATCTCAAATTTTTCGAAAGCTGACTATAACTCAAATTATAGAATTTTTTACTACTCGCAATAAATGTCTTTCGACTCGACCTCGTATTTTTTTTTCTGATTAGCCTCTCCATGCAAATAGGACGTTTCTCCGGTTTCATCCTAACTACCTACACCTCAAACATGCAAGTACTAAGTAACAACAATATTGACTGTATTCTCAACAGAATAATTTTATTTTCTCGTCTTTTTTAAAAAAAAAAAGATAGAATTGTAGTAGATTATTGGGAGGTCGTTTAGTGGATGATGTAACAGAAAATAATTTAACATTATTGCCTCTCGCATCAAAGTCACCAGACCTAAACATAATTGAGCATGTGTGGTCTCGGCTAAAATTTCTAATGCGGTCAAGACAAAATGCTCCTCAAACAATCGAAGAGCGTCTGAGTCCATTCAGGAAGAGTAGCAAAACGTATTCAGAGAATTTATTAATAACCTTCTGGAAAGTATGCCACGAAGATTCCAGGCTGTGATCGATGTGCGGGGTGGCCCTACAAGGTACTAACAATATTGCTTAAAATAACTGTTGCTGTTTTGTAAAAAGTTCGTTTTTGTCATAAATAATTTAGGTATTTAACTGGACTTCAAATTTTTGTTTTCTAAAATGTTACATATTGTTAATGTTAATCAATAAATTCTTAGATATTGTTTAAACATTTAATAGAGTCTATTACCTATTCGAAAACATCTCCAATGAAGACGCGTACGCCAATGCTGAATGAGAAGGATACAAAAATTCCAGATAAAAGATGAATACCAGTGTTGGCCAGCATCACAGCATTTTAAAATTTTTATTCAAGTTATTAGCACTTTTTTTATACCGAAGTAGCCGCGCAGGCAGAAGCCGAAACGCCGGGACACCGCGGCTGCTGCGATGACCCAAAAGAAATTTTGTTAATCCGAGTTAGTAGAACTGGGAAAAGCTTCCTCTTTTAGCACCCCAAACGTGTGAGCAAAATACTCGAGGCTAGGCCTTATCTGAGCCTTGTATAGAGTGAAAAGGTCATGCGGAGAGAAGTACTTCTTAGCCCTAAACAAATACCCCAGCTTTTTCACAGCAGCTGCCGCTATTGACGAGACGTGTTCGTACCAGATCAGGTTCTCGGCGATCTAGACTCTGACTAGCCGAAATGAAGCTCTTTGGCAGAACTCGGCCATCCATCGGAACCGGATGAGCACTAGGATGCTTTTTGTTGGTCGAGGTACAGTACTGTGTTTTGGAAGCATTAAACTGTACAATATTGTTGCGACCCCAAGCAGTGATAACCTCCAGGTCTTTCGTCAGAGATCGGCTTGTCGCTCTGAATTCCTGCATGTAGAGTGCTGTCATCAGCGAAGCTGTGGATTGGGTTGATCGTGTAGGGAACACCCGAGTTGACGTTGTGGGATGAAGAGGAGAGCCCGTCAATTACGACGGATACCTTGCGACCAGAGATAAAGTCAGCCATCCATCTGCAAAGCTTTTCTGGGAGACCATAGCATGGAAGTTTGCTTAAGAGGGCAGCGTGCCACAGCTGATCGGACGCTTTCGTGGTGTCAAGAACAACGACATGAGCCTCACCATAAGACTGAAAGAGTTTACTCCACAATTTCGTGACATAAGCTAGAAGGTCCCATGTGGATCGCTGGTGTCGGAAATCATACTGCCTGTCGCTAATCAAGCTGTGACGTCCGAGGTAGTCCAAAAGTTCGCGATTTATGCACCTCTCCATCATGGTGGAGTTGGCGGCAAAGATTTCGGCAAACACTTCCGCCTTGGCTTTTGAGTCGGATGCAATCGTTCCATCCTGACACGTAAGTGGTGGAAGGCTACAATGCGAGAAGTTCTTTTCAATCTGCTTGGCCAGCGTCCACAAAGCCCGACTGCCATTGCGATGCGACATTACCCTGTGACTAACTTGTATGTAGTGCTGGTTTTTGGCATTGCGAACCGCTTCGTTGTATTTGTTTCTAGGCTCGACGTCGGCTTGTCTGTTCTCTACATTGGGGTTTTGTAAGAAGATTCTGTGTGCCTTGATCTGCTGGCGAGCAGTGTCACACGATTTGTTAAACCAGCCGTTGGATCCTGGTTTAGGCACTTTCACTGTATGAGGGATATATACCTCCATTCCGACGTGGATAATTTCGGTTATCGAAGAACAGACAGCCGACACATCCACGTCAGCGAAACAGACATCTGTCCAAGGAAAGGTAGAGAGACTTCTTACCAAACCAAAAAATGCTTTTGATGTTACGCCACTGGAATACACCCCTATATTAAGATTAGTAACTTGGATTTGTTCATTAAGCTGTTTAATAGTAAAATCTATAAATTCGGTATAATTATTATTTATTATTAATAAATACACATTCTCAAGAAAAAACCCAAAAAATTCCCTTCTTCAGGGATACTTAATCACGTTTTTAAAATTCGATAATTTGAGTTATACCTGACTTTCTAAAAAATTGAGAATTACTTTTTTTCGGATAGTTCAAAGATCAAAAAGATGCATAAAAAATTTTCCAAGATCAAAAATTGAGAATCTGACATAGCCCCAAATTTCTTTAAAAAACCCGACTTCCTTTGCTCACCCTGTATAAGTGGATAAATAAAAGAAATATACCGGTTGAACCCTGTACGTGTACTCATCTCTTTCCGTTCTGAAAATATCGAGATTTGAGTTTAGGTAAAATTTTCCATGTTGCAAAGCAAATGTCCACCAGCTTAGTCGATCGTCATTATTATTAAATTGAAATTGAAAGATAATCCTGCAACTTTAAATTGGTCACATCAGGTCCTAGTGTTTGGTAAAAACATTGTTTAGTCAAGTCTCCTGGTTTTCGAGATAAACAGCAATCATTTTTTGGCAAAAATCACAGTCGATTGTTTCATCAAAATCAGTGTTGTTTTATTCTGATGTTATAGCGAAATCTTCATGTAAATATTATAAATCAATTTGTACGTCTTATTTTGACACCTTGTAGTAATAAAGAATGAAATATGATCACCATACCAAGTCGAACATTTAATTTCAGAATGCTCCTGTTTTCTAACAGTTTGTTGGCTATTTACTTTTTACGACAATTTTAATGGAAGATTTTTCTTGCATATTTAAAAATAGTTTTATAATACGAACAGGGACATGATTGATGAAATGGTAAGTTTTTATTAAATTATCTGAACTAAGTATTTAAAGTGGCCATCACGGAAACCATGAGACTTTTGACTAAACAAATTTTTTACAAACAGTAGGTCATCATGTAGTTTATTTTCAGTTGCACGATTATTCTTCAATTTTCAATATATTGAACAGAGTATACGTACGGCCTTCTTGATTATCCATTTCTTTATTGGCATCACTAGGCTTATTGGTAGATTCGTTATCTTTGAACACAGGCAACAGCGCCTTATTTCCTACAGCTAGCTCACGTAAATTGATTTCTGCTACCATAGTTATAGCTTCTTCATCCTTCGGCTTATCGGTCAGCTTTCTGTAATGTAAAGAGTCCCTTGTGACCACTTTACTGACCAATTTTTTTACTTGCGCTCTAGACAGTTGAACGCCCAGTGTGTACAGAAGTTCTTCAATATCTTTATCGAAGATATAGCCACAGTGAGACTGATCAAAGTAGATGAAAGACAGTAACAAGTGCTTATCTTTAGTCACGAGCTTGACTTTTTTCTTTTTGTCTTTGTCCCTTTTTCTATCCTTATCATCATTGTCATCGTCGTTATCATCGCTATTTTCTTGTTCGTCCCTTCTTGAATCCTTCTTGTCGTCTTTAGTTTCTGATTTTTCCTTGCTGTCAGATGTTTTCTTTTTCTCAGCATCCTTTTTCTTGTCATCGTCTTTTTTCTTATCGTCATCCTTTTTCTTATCGTTCTCTTTTTTATCGTCCTTCTTTTCGTCTTTGTCCTTTTTTTCTTCCTTCTTGTCTTTATCTTCTTTGGGCTTATCAGGTAAAACTGTCAAAGCCTTGTAAATATTGAATCCAAAATCTCGAATAAGCATTTCGTTGAATAATTCCGCAAATAAAGAAACCTCGAAGGAGTGTTCCTTGGTGTCTTCAGGTCTGTAATCTAAGAGGAGGGACAGTGACATGACTGTACAATCGAACTTTCCTGATTTGGCAGTTTTAGAAGGATGGACTACGATGTGCTGTTCGTCTGGTAATGAGTAACGTTTTTCTAGCAGAGCTAGCGCACGTTCATCCAACTTCTTTATTTCAGCCTGTAAAAAATATTGATTATTAGTAATATAATTATAGACAGAACAAATCCGCTTAAAGTCAGGTTATGTTTGTGATACTTTTTAGATGAAATATAGAGTTTCGGCAATTACAAATACCGCATACGTAAACTTTAACTTTCTCCTTTTTTGTGTCCAGGGACGCGTTCAGCCAACGTAAAGCAGTCCATCAATACAGCGCACTCTTGCTGGATAGCAGTAGCTACGAGGTACACCCTATTTTATGAGAATCCATCATGGAACACTGACAGGACGAGGGATCGATGAACTCCACGTAGAGAGACCCGTATTTTGTTGTGGTTCTTTGTACGCTACAGATTCATTTTGTACTTTCTCAAAACTATTTTATTTAAAAAAGTTTCTTTGCATACGAAAGAAACGCTACAAGCACAATGGCTGCTAATGACCATGACTACATTCATTTCAAGTAGGAATAAAGTAAGATAAACAGTTTTTGACTATATTAATTATATTTACTTTTTAGAACCTGAAACACCATATGATCTTAAAAGGCAATGAAACAGCCATACATTTAGTTCAGAATGTGTGGCAGTATATGACCGATTTGATAGAGCTTAGATTCCATCAATTAAGTCTGAACATTACTCGGGTAATTTTAATAAGTAATAAAATAAAAAAATGTAAGTAACTATTGCAGGAAGTCATGAAATGTACACAACTGGCACAATGCAGTGTTCGTGAATACAGGCATGGGCCAACTGTTGAGAACTCTGCAAAAATCCAAAGGAAACTCAAACGTAGTTTATAATTTTTTCAAAGAGAGTAAGATATTCATAAGGATATACCAAGTCAGCAAATTGATGCTATGCCATCATTACATATCGAGGAATTCCAGGAAGTATGTTTTATTTTTATTTTGATGTTTGAGTGGTATGATGCATTTGATGTATCACAATAATATGGCATGGTGGTGGGTCTTTTCGTAATTTTGGGTGAATGTATTAGTTTTGATGTGATTAGTTATGTGCTCTTGATGAATTATGTTACACTGATGACGGACAATAAACCAGAAACACGTGTCTATAATTATGTTCACTGTTACCCTCGTGCCAGGGGGGTGGTTGTAGATGCACTTCCCTGCACGATGAATGTTACTTCTGGGGTTCGAAGTGGTTGTTGATTTGGAGGATTTGGGCGCTGGGGGAAATGAAAAGATTGCCAATTTCCAGAGCTTGCCCAAAATCTATTTAACTATTTTTAATAAATCACCTGAAGGGTGCTATTACAAAGTTTGCAACAAACTACCTGAAGGGTGCTATGACAAGGTTTGCAACAAACTACCTGAAGGGTGCTATGACAGGATTTTCAAGTATTCAAAATGATCACAGTAAGCTCAAAATTTCACTTTGCAATGGTTAATCGATCACCTAACAACAAATGAAAACGAATATTAGTGACTTACCAAGTTTCCGGGGGTATGCATACCTCAGGATCACACCAGCTGTGAAGTTAGGATAAATAATTCATATTAAGTGAAATTAGCTGCTTAAGTATATAGATGCAGTTCGACGGGGTTTCAGCACATGGCGTCTGTGGACATTGGCAACGGCTGAATCAGCTCCCTTCCTCAGGGGCTGCTTGGAACTTTCATTACAGGGCAGGGCGTGGAAAAGTCGTAAGGGCTTCATCTGAAGGTATCAGCAGTAGTTTGGTGGACAAAACGTAAGGTGAAGAAGACGAAAAGTTGGAAGAAGATGAAAAAGGCCTCTGTTGGAGTGTGGCCTAAAAGTGTCGGCTAGAACGCCGTAAAAGCGTCGAAGACTCCCGTCTCCCACATCCCCGTAGGATTATATGAGACATAAAAAGGAAGAACGCTTAGACTTTATTTGGCGTAAAGATCCGCAAAATGCGTGCTTCTCAACAGAGCTACGACCAAAAAGTGAAGTTTCTTCAACTTGGACACGGAACACAAAGTTCGAGAGGAGCAATGGAACAACAGCGGACCGTTCCCGGACTGAAAGGACCGAACACTTGTCAAAATGTAACATTGAGGTTAGGAAAGAAACGAAGACGTAAACAATTCTCAGATGAAGGGGCCTCAACTACAAAATGAGATTATAGGTGGAGCGTTACGTATAAACCATAGAGAAAATCTTCAGGTAGTTAAACTAGGAATATGTCTACCCTTGTTTAGTGTTTACGATTATTGCAGGGTCACGGCAGTTCCTACAAGGTTTGGACAAAGTTTAGGGCTGATCCCACGGACCACGATAGCACCTAGGACTTAAGATTGTGAATCTAGTCTTGGTAACCGCTCACAGTGTACAATTTTCAGCTAATAAATCTTGAATTCTGAGGTAAGAGTATGATTTCAAATTAAACCCGTAACATTACAGATAAATTTACAGCTTCTAGAAAGGACTACGCAGCCTGTTCTATTGACATACCATGTAATCAATAAATCCCAGTTGTACTATAATTTTCTAATAAACTTCTCTATATCTGCACTTGTACATTTTATTGTCACTTTTCCCACCCACTTAAAAATATAATCCTGACGTGAACAACAGCTCTAAATACGGTCCCGAAATTCATTATTGCCAACGTTATAAATTAACACAAAGAAGTCGCTTTAGTGATCAGCTGTTCACCTCAAAGCGTGATGGATACTCGTGAAATATGGTTTAGTTTGTTCACTTTCAGTATGACGACAGTTTTCACTTGGCTGTCAGATTCGATAGTATGAGGGCGGTTCAATAAGTACCCGTGTTGAAGACACCATTTTTTTTTTACAAATAAAAAATATTTTACAACATTTTAACTCAATTTGACGAACTCTCCAAAATACGCCTCTGTCTCAGCGATGAGTTCTTCGTTTGAGCTAATTTTTTTTCGCGCGAGCCATTTCTTCATGTTAGGGAACAAGAAAAAGTCGCAGGGGGCCAGATCGGGTGAATACGGGGGGTGCGGCAGCACTTCATAATGCAATTCATGCATTATGGCGGCGACAACTCCGGATGAATGTGCTGGTGCGTTATCGTGGTGAAACAGCACATTCTTTTTCGTCAAATGTGGCCGTGTCTCCTTCAATTTTTTGTAGACGCGGTCCAATAACTCACTATAGTATTCTCCAGTGTTCGTTCTTCCTTTTTCTAGAAAATACACGAGGATAACGCGGTTCGCATCCCAAAAAATCGTCGCCCTGACCTTTTCGGACGATGGGACCATCTTCGCCTTCCTTGGAGCAGATTCACTGGAAGAAATCCATTGTTTTGATTGTTGCGTAGTTTCTGGTGTGTAATGATGAATCCAGGTTTCATCAACGGTGACAACTCAACGCTTAAATTGCTCCAAGCACTGCTTCGAAGTTAACAGCCGTATCCGCTTGTTGTCCACTGTGAGCATTCGCGGCACCCATCGGACCGACAATTTTTTCATCTCTCTTATCATGTAAAATATTCATTGCCGTTCCGGTCGACACACCTACGGCCTCAGCTACTTCGCGCACTTTCGTCGATCATCGAGAATCATGTCGTGGACTTTTTGAATGATTTCCTCGGTAACCACGCCTGCCGGACCTTCTGGTCGCTCCTCCTCAAAAACGGATGTTCGCCCACGCTTAAACTTGTTGAACCATTATCTGACTGTGGCCATAGATGGCGAAGTGTCCCCACATAAACAGCATCGAACTTTGCTTTCATCTCCTCGCATTTTTCCCATCCAAAAACAAAAAGCAAATTACCGAAATTACCCCTCTTTTTCCATCACGAAACACGTGTTACTAGAATGGGTGCCAAATCCAAAATAACCTACCAATCAGCCAGATACTTGTTGTGCCGTCTTTTGATAGATGGCAGCACACGATGATAACACCAACTTCCCTCAGGAATACCCGCTGTTGTCAAACACGGGTACTTACTGTTACTGAACAAGCCTCGTATGTTGATTAAATGTTTTAAACTGTCAAAGCTAGTTCAGGGCTAATGCTATATTGATACGGCCAGCAAAGAAAAATCTTTCTGACATCGATGACAGCTTCGGATGACAACTGTTACTAACAGACAACTGCGAAACGAAAATTTAAATTCTCCCTTGAACGTTCCTCACTGAAGCGTCCTTGTTTCACTCTTTCCAATGAGATATCTGATATCCATTGTTTCCAAGACAGCCTCACGACTCAAGGAAGGTCTTTATTTATCTGACTCTAAGCCCAGATAGCACAGAACATCTTAGATACGTCCATTTTATGCACTAATAATGTCTGAACGCCTGATATATTGAAAAGACGTCTGTAAGATATCCTTAGTGCCACATCTTTGAGTGCTGCGTCTTTTTTGAGAAGACGTTGCGGAAATTTTTAGAACCCAGCTTCTTAACAAGTTAGAAATGAAGTGAACATTATAAGAAACCACAATCCTGAACATCAACTAAACTTTAAAGTAACATATATTATTTCGTTTGTCCAACCACGATTGAAAATATATATCACTTTTTTAAGACCTGTATATTCTTCAACCAAATCCATTATTTTAAACTACGCGAAAGGATAAGTCGTTGAAGTTTTCAGATATCTTTATTTCTCGATAAACACCAATTGTCTTTTAAACTTCAAAATTTATTAACTCAAAAATCGCCACCAGATGACGATTAAAGCAAGCACATATCTATACTTAAATCTGCAACATCTCTAGCTCGGTATCTGTCGATGCCATTTGTGATTGGTGTCAGTGTTTTTAAGGCGTAGCGCGTCCGCAGGAAAAGTTCTTGCCTACGTATGATTTTCCACTTGTTTGCCGTAGAAAAAACAAGTAAATTGGCCTCCCAAGGTGTTTGTTAACGTTAGAAAAAAGTGTTCTCTTAGAATGTAAAATTTGCAATGTAAAAACATTTTGGATTACAATATTAGAAAGTGTATGGAACAACCTGTACCTACTTATTTATTTCAGTGTATGCTGGAAGGGCTGGTGTATGCCAGAGCCACCATGAGGTGGAGCTAGCTGTCCGGACTTCGCTTAGACGAGCTTCAGATCGCCAGACAGCCACCCAAAAAAATATTGATAACACAGAAAAATATTTGTTTTTGATAAAAACACTTTATATTTATCTTTATTGATAATTTGCCTGTTTTTACTATGTCTTTTTAATGCCGCACCAAAGACGTTACGAACGTATTATAAAGACTGACGTCTTTTAGGCCCGTATCGTCAGTCGTCCCTACAATTGTAGGGTGCGTTTATGGCCTCCTTGATTGTCATACTCCTTTCTCTCCTTCAAAAATTTCTAGATTACACTTGCCCGTGTCAGCGTCAGCGCTCTCCTATTGTGAAGATATGTTTTCTTTTTAAATTGTAGGAAATTTCAGGCTGATAAAACATGATATAACTCAAAAGCAAGCACAATTTGATGCAAATAGATGTCTGTGACATAACCTCAAAATAGAGTTCTGACACGGAGAAGTAGAATACTATGACAATCAAGGAGGCCATAAACGCGCCCTACAATTGTAGGGTCGACTGACGATACGGGCCTAAGACGCAAAGTATGCCGTTGTGCTATTTGGGAATGAAGGAACTCCCGAGTACATGCACGAAACTGAAACGAAACACTGAAGCATCCCTACACATATTTTGGCACTTTAAGGAAAACAGCAAATTTGCACATTGAATCTAAAAAAATGATGTTTCTATGAATTTTTGTTGTATCTCCAAAAATGAAGTGGTGATGGGTATCCAACGGTTTCCGTAAAAAACACCCTGTATATTCGAAATGGCTGAGCCGACTTTAACAAACTTGGGCTAGTTGAAAAGAGCTATTCTTGGGCTATAAATGCTATAATATTTGAAGTTTTGTTAGTTTCATATATGGTCGCTAGAGGGGTTTTTCGACATTCCGACAAAAATCGTTAATTTGGTATGATTTTTTATGAGAAAGTAGCTAAATGATGTCTAAACAAGCTCGCGAAAACCGCATCTCGATATCTTGTTCCTAACCTAAAATTTCGGCCAAAAAAAAATTTATCAGGAAATCTCTAAAATTTTTATTTTTGTAAACAAATTTATCCGGAATTCTTTTTTATGCATCAGAATAAAATCACCCTTTTTGAAAATATTACAAAATATCGCCAAAAAGTAAACAAATGACAAAAGGCATGTTTTTTGTTTAAATGTGTATAATGTCTTTTAAGTTTTGCATATAGAAACATAGTAGGCCGCGCGGATCGAACGTCAGTACTGAATTTTAACCTCACTCTTCAGTAAACTTAAATTCAAAGTTTCACAACAATACGTGCAGTGTTCTCACTACAGTGAATTTTTAAGTGTCACCAAGTCATTAGAAAAATGGAACCCAACCGAGAACATTTTCGCGCCATAATTTATTACAACTTTCAGACAATTATCGCAACAAGAATGCCTTGCTGAGTTACTGTCTGTTTTCGGCAACGAAGCGCCACATCATTCGATAATTTCTCATTGGTATGGAGAAATCAAACGTGAACGGATCAGTCTTAGCGACGATCCCAGGGTGGGTGCACCAAAAACGGCAGTCACCCAGGAAAACGTCGATGCTGTGCGCAAACTCATCATTGAAGATAGACACGTGACATATCGCGAGATTGAGGCGTCCTTGAAGATCTCAAAGACCTCAATTCAAAAAAATTTACATAAAGAATTAGGAGAAGAAAATTAGTTTCTCGTTGGATACCCCACCTGTTGACTGAAGAGCAGAAAGCAGCCAGGGTTAATCGGTGTCAAAAAACGCTTGAGCGTTTCAATTCCGGAAACTCAAAAAATGTGTACAGCATTGTTAGTGGTGATGAATCGTGGATTTACTGCTATGAACCAGAAAATAAACGACAGTCGGCTGTTTGGGTGTACCAAGGTGAAGAAAAGCCAACAAAAGTCATCCGTTCTCGAAGTGTTTCGTAAAAGATGGTCGCGACATTTGTGTCAAAAGCGGGTCATATTGCAGCAATTCCTCTTAATGAGCAAAGAACTGTTACTGCGGATTGGTATACCACCATTTGTTTGCCAAAAGTCATCACCGAGCTTCGAAAAATCAACCCCGAAAGAAGAATCATCCTCCACCAAGACAATGCAAGCTCGCACACAGCCCAAAAAACAAGGCAGTATTTAACGTAAGAAAACGTGGAATTATTGGACCATCCTCCATATAGTCCCGATCTAAATCCTAACGATTTCTTTACTTTCCCGAAAATTAAAAACAGACTGCGTGGTCAAAGGTTTCAGTCACCAGATCTGTCAGCAAACGAGTGGAATAAGTGCTTCGAAAATTGATTCGAGCGCATGCAGATGTGTATTAATCTTCGTGGAGAATACTTCGAAAAAGTCATTTAAAACTACCTACCGTGTTGTTTTATTTCCATATGCAAAACTTAAAAGACATCCCTCGTATTCATTGTGGGTATATACGAAAAAGACAATTAATAGAGGCAGGCCATCGAATACACGTCTTTGCGACGTCAGAGTTTTTCTCCGATTACTGGCGACCTTACGAGCCAATGTAGTTTTCGGCCTACGTTTCAACGGCAAAGAATTGGAAGAACACAAGAAAGTATTAACCGCGTACTGGGATATTATTGCAGGAAATTCTCATGTTATCACAAGGGCATTCATTTTTGAGAACTAACTAACTGGGATAATTTGTATCCTAGTAACTTCTAGCTTGCTATTATTTACCTCGGACTTATCCGACTTCTTATCCTTTTCCTTGTCTTCCTTTGCGCTCTTGAGCAAGATCTCAGTTTCGTCTTCCGGCTCGTCATTCTCATTACCAGAATCCTCCTTTTTCAGCGCCTCAGTTTCTTCCTCGAGTTTCAGCAGCTTTGTTAACCTTGCCACCAGCTGCGACTTCAGGCCCTTGTGCGGAGCGCCACGTGATTTGAGCTGTGTTCTCAGGTCACCTACTGACATCGACTTTGGGTCCAACTGGGAGAAATGTACTGGTTCTAACTTGTCCTGTGGAAAAACCGCGGAGGTCAGAGATGAAAAAGCGAAATCGGATTCGTATCGTTCACATCCATCCTTCCTGCATTCGCGCAACTAGGCCACAACATTCCAAAGGATAAGACAAACTAATAATGCTCTCTGCTTGCAGATTTTGGCTCGCCAGCCATGGATTTCAGGGTGTGTATACCTAGCCTATTTCATACAGACATAACTCAGAATCATACTATGGTGCTGTCGAGGTTCGTGTTTTCAGCTTTGAGAGGAATAATTTTGTACTAGATTCGCATGCCCCTGTTGTCCCTTACCGACCCTTTACTTTCTGATCAACCAATCAAAACATAATTTATTGTCCAAGAATATATTATTCTTATTGACAAAGGCCGTGAATATAATAAACCGGGTGACAATGAAAATTGGGAACACGCTGTATTTTTTTGGCAAATAAAGATATCGCTCCAAGATTAGGACATGCTTAGTTAGTCATTGAGAGGCATTTCTGGAAAGTTGAATGGTTTATCTCTCCCCTCCGGTTTGACCGGATGTGGCCTTGTCTTTCGTTTTTCAAATGGAAACCTCTATATTTTCTTCCATAATCGTACTCTATGCAAAATTCCGTTTCCAACGATGTGTCGCAAGTTACAATTTCGTTTTAAAATGGCGGCGCTATAAAGAAATTAGTGAATAACCTAAAATCATATTGCTTACAAGACAAAGCATATTTTAAACTGTCCAGGTAGTGTGATCAACGGCTAAATAAATGATAGATTTGAAATAGGAGCCTGTATACCTTTTTCAGAAATTTCATTCTACGTAAAGTTCTCTATTCAATGATGCATAAAAGAAAAAAGTAGTTTTTTTTATTACTGGCTCTAAATGAAAACGCATTTCTAATTATGTTCTGCCAGCTACTATCGGTTCAGTAAAATTACAACTATTTCATAGAATCTACCAATTGCCGCAAGAAACTAAGGAGGCTATACCAATTTAGGATGTTTCCAGGCTGTGGAAAACTCAATTCATAGTGTACCCATTATTGTTTAGTTATTTGACGTTTGGGAATCTTTGTTTCATTAAATTTATTTTCACTTATACCTATTCCATAAAAGGTAAACCTACAGTATTTTTTACTATGAGTTTTACAAGAAACGAGCAAGTTGATATGCTATTAATATTCGGTGAATTCAGAAAAAATTCTATAAATGCGTGTGCGTTGTACGCTCAGCGATATCCTAATAGAAGTCATCCAAGTTATACATACTTTTAGTTTAGAAATGAGGATGTCAATGGTGAAGAGAACTCTTTCGTAGTAAGTGAAAAGGCAGAGATAAAAGTTTTGGCGTATGTTCACTTTGAACCCTACGGTATCTACTGGGAAACTAGAACAAGCAACAAATGTAAATCGTGAGTCAGCTAGGCAGATTTTGAAGAAACATGGATTCAGCTCATATAAATATCAGGTACACCATCACGTATATGAAAATGATGTTACAAGAAGATTTGCCTTCTGTAACAGGTTTCATGCTCAACTTCAAGAAGATAGAAATTTTAATTATCATATTTTGTGGTCTGATTAATCGCGTTTCACAAATCTTGAGTTATTTAATAAAAATAATACACGTTACTGGGCAACTGAAAATCCACGTTTGATCAGAGAAGGGGCCTTTTAGGACCGTTTTGGAGTGAACGTGTGGCTCGGAGTTCTGGGCACCTGCAAACTTGGGTTATATTTTTATGAACTCTTAAATGGGGGAGATTATCTTAACTTTTTGCAAAATGAAATAGGAGATTTTCTTGATGGTTTGTCCCTAGCTGATAATAGGGATGTTTCATTTCAACGAGATGTGAGTATAAAGAATATAGCCTAAGCAATTTTAAAAAAAAGGTTAAAGATGAGTTTAAAGCAATGCAATAAACTTTACGCATATCCACAGGTTTGTTGTTTCCCTTTTCTGAGGAGTGTAATATTTTAAGCTTTTCTCTTTTTGGTGGTCACTGTTGTGAACTGTGCCATTTAAATGTAGGTCCTTTTTTTTCTTTATAGTTTGTGTCAATGTTTTTTAGGTCGGGTTGAAAAACAGCTGACACCCCACCTTTTCGTCACTATTCCTATTAAGCCAATTATTTTGTATTCATGTGACGAATAAAGGACATTTATTATTATTATTATTATTCGATAATCGTTGGCTAGGAACAAACGTCCTATTAGCTGGCCCGCACGATCACACGACAACCATTTTAGACTTTTTCATTTGGGCCTACTTGAAGGAGAAGCTTTATGTCACGCCTCCTATAAATCTGTTAGATTTAGAACAGCGAATAACGGCAGCAATTAACACCTTATCTGAAGATTTTTTAAACAATGGGCATGCAGAAACCATAAGAAGCGTCAATAAATGCTGAGAAAATAATGGAGGACGCATTTAACTGTTTTAGCTATAGTATGAATGTTTAATAGTTTTTAGTTCTTAATTTTCTAATATTTTTTATAACTAGAATAGTTGGTCAAAGTAGGTAGAATAGGGTAGAAGAGGATAATATTAATAATTTCAGTTTGTACAGGGTGGCCAATATGTAACTTACTGATTTAAATTGCGCGCCATTTTTGATACACGCATTTCGGTAGGAGGCGCCGTAGTAGTTGTTTAAAGTACATGCGCCCAATTCATCGTGGAGCGTTACACGATCCTACAATGCGTTCGTATTGTTAAAACGTTTAACTTAAATAATGAGTCAATTGTTGCAGCGATTCGGAAGCTACGACAAGATTTCTGTCGAAATAACATGCCCAGTGTCAACACCATTCGTCAGTTGGTGCGGAAATTTGAACAGGTGAAGTTAAAGACTTGCCAAGGTCGGGCAGTGTTCGAACTGTTCGTACTCCGGAAAATATCGAGAGTTCGTGAAAGTTTAGTGGAGCGCCCTGAGACGTCTACCAGACATCGTTCTCAAGAACTGGGTATTCGTCGCACGTCATGCACTATTTAAAAAAAAGACTTGCATTTGCGGCCATACAAAATTCAGTTAACCCAAGAACTATAGCTTAGTGACCATGAAAGTCGCCGACAATACAGCCATGCAGTATTGCAGCTTAATAACGATTTTTACCGATAACTGATTAATCAGCGATGAAGCCGACTTCGATATGAACGGATTTGTTAATAAGCAGAATTGTCATATCTGGGCATTAGAGAATCCTCGTGTCATCCATCAACGACCACTACATCCTCGTCGAGTGGTGTCATTGAACCTTACTTCTTTGAAGACGCTGCAGGTAATTCTCTTACTGTCACTGGCAAGCGCTACCGTGATGTGGGGCAAAACTCAAATCCAACAATTTAACCCGCAAAACATGCGGTTCCAGCAGGACGGAGCAACTTGTCACGCAGCTAAGGAAACAATGAATCTTTTGCGAACATTTCCGGATCATTTAATTTCTCGATTTGGTGAGGTCAACTGGACACCAAGGTCACCGGATTTAACGGCTCCTGACTCTTTTTATGGGGATTTCTGAAAAATCCAACAAACCAAAAACTGTAGAGCAGCTGAAGAACAATATTACGGAAGCGATTCAAAATATTTCTCCCGAAACCTACCAAAAGTGATGAAAAATGCAATCAAGAGGGCTTAGGTTTGCGCGGCTTCTAGAGGCGGACATTTGTCTGATATATCGGAAACCCTGTAGTGATTTAAAAAAAAAATTTATTACTTTGCCAGAAAATATTTTTTTTTATTTTGATCACATCGCCACCTTGATAGTTTAAAATATTTTTTTTGTCTTGTAAGCAATATGACGGATTATATGTAATTCACAATTCCTTTATAGCGCCGCCATTTTAAAACGAAAATGTCACTTGTGACACATCGTTGGAAAGGGAATTTTGCATACAGTACGATTATGGAAGAAAACATACAGAGTTCCACTTGAAAAACAAAAGTCAAGGTCACTTCCCGTAAAAACCGGAAGAGAGATATAGTCCATTCAACTTTCCAGGAAGCCTCTTAATGACCAACTAAACATGTCCCAATCTTGGAGCGATATCTTTATTTAAAATTGAAACGATACAGAGATGACACAAAATCGTTAAGCGTTCCACATTTTTTATTTTTCTTACGTATATCTTTTCACTTTTGCAGGTGAAATTAATGAATTGCTGATTTATATCAACAGTCACTGACTGCATGGGAATCATTATGCCCTAATGCCAAAAAGCTAACCGTTTCTATCATCCTGGAATCAACCTGATGCTCTTCGTGCATTATGTTGTTATTATTCTAAAATCCACGGTAATATCTGAGTATTGCGCGAATCCAACTAAATCATTGATTTGACAGTTAAATAATTAATCGAATAGTGAAGGTCCCCATTAAAACCAACGCGAACACACGGACTCTCTTCAGCACCACACCACCGATCAATGAAATAAGAGTGCCTTTTCGTCGTTCTCCTCGTTGCCTGACTGGTTATCGTCCTTGTCTTCCTTTTTACCACCACATGCATCCGCAGTAGCAGTTGCCTCATCGCTAGCAGGGCTGTTCAGGCCCTCCCAACGCCGTCTGTAGCTCGCCTGCAGGTTGTCCCACTCCAATCTGGTCGGTAAGCAACTCCATATGTCCGGTAGGAACAGCACAACTGTCTCGACCCGTGCCGATGAAGGCTTGCCCTTGTGCTCGCCGGTGCCGCGACGGTAATACAGCTCCACAAAACGGTACCTATACGGGAGAAGAAACAACATATATGGTCAGCATTGCGCTCAGATCCCATCGCCATCCCACTCATGGCGACACAGGTACCGCATCAGGAATTCGTGCGATGGGACACCTGTTCGGCTAATGATTAATAACCCTTAAAATTCAGTGCAAATTGCACAACGGTTATATTTAACGATATAGTAGTTATCTAAATAAAACAATCATGTAGTGTTTCCAAGTTGCTGCAAGACCGCTATAATATCAGATGCGCTCTAAAAATAGGAAACATGCAATGGAGAAAATATCGACGATCAGCGATACAGCAATAAAAATTCAGCATCGTAGTTGCTGATGTGGAAACGAAATTCTTCGAGACATCCTGCTTAAGACCTCCTATTGTAACACCTAATAGATTTAATCGGACTCCAGGGGAATATCTCAATTCGAATAACATTCCATGGTTGATCTTTGTCCACTTATCAGAATAAAAAGCCCCTTAGAGAGTGATAAAATGGCGATCTGAGACTTGAAAATGATATATACTAAGTGACATACAAAATGCAACACACAAAATTATTTATTGGCTAAGGCTTTTTTGTCATATCAGGATCCGAACAATATGAACATGTTTACTTATATTTAGTGATTTCATTGTTGTTTCATTGTATTATCATGTCCAGAGTTCGCAGTCGCGCTAATTTCACTCAACTTTCCGAGTTTGAGAGAGATCGGATAATACGTGACGCCGGATTTTTTTTTGGAGAAATCGCTAATCGGGTGAATCGAAACGAAGCTACTGAAATGAGATGTTGTCGAGCGTGGTTCCAAGAAGGCCAAAATCGATAAGTTAGAGGTACTGGACGTCAAAGACAGACTACACAGCGACAGGATCGTTATTTGAGGCAACTAGCACAAGAAGGGCAGTTGCGAACCAGTGATTTGATGCTGCCGAAAGAGCAATAACAATGAGGACAGTTTATCACCAAATAACATATTTTGGACTGTTTTCATACCGTCCGCATCTTGTACTACCTCTGACCCACTGCATCGTCGGCAACGATTGGTATGGAGTAGGGAGAGACTTGAATGGAATATGGAATGGAACTCAGTCGTGTTCAGCGATGAGTCCAGATTCTGTTTGGGCACACATGATGACCGTGCAAGAGCAAGGAGGAGACGTGGTGAAAGACGGAACGTCGAATATTCCATCGAACGACATATGGTATTCATCGCACTGTGGGCGTTATGGTATGGGGTGACATTGTTTACGGCAGCGGGTCACGATTGGTGTTCATTCGAGGTAGCATGACTGCCCAGCTCTATATCCACGAAGTTCTACATCCACATCTGCTTCCCTTTTTGGAAAATTTTCAAGATCCACTTCTTCAATAGGACAATGCACGACCTCATGTCGCACGTGTTAGTTTAGACTTTCTAGAAGCGTACGGAGTAAATCTGCTTCAGTGGCCTTCTCGATCTCCAGACCTTTACTCCCATCGAACATGTATGGGACATGATGGGAAGAACATTCACCGCACGCTCCACACACCTTGGAGGCTCTACGAAACCAAATTCAGATGACCTGGGATACAATACACCATCTGTGCCCTCAAACAGGACAAGAGGCGCGCAAATGTGCGAACTGTGGAGGTTACCATCCGGCCAACAGTTCTACCTGTAGATTCACTCCTATGAGAAATCTACAGGTCATCGCACAAAGGCGAGTAAAAGCATACGCAGATGCAGCAAAGGTTGAAAATCGAGCTGCGCCTGCTGCCCCGAGCTCACCTTCACTGCTCAAAACGTGGACCTGGCAACAGCGCTAAGGTCCTTGCAGCAGATAATTAGTCCACTGATAAGCGCTACACAGGCCTTGCAGGCGATCTTTCCGATAAATGGCTAGGTACAATAGTACATCAAAATTCTTTTCTGGAATTGTTTGGGTCTTCCCAAAAAACGGGAATTTCATCAAGTACTTTTGGATGGGAATATAGATGTGGCTCTGTTACAGGAAACATTGCTTAATCCGGGAGATCATCTAGCTTTCCCGAATTATGATATTATCCGAGCTGATAGATTAACTGGACGGGGTGGAGGCTTGGCACTCCTAGTGAAACGTGGTAATGACTACCATAGAAGCACAAATGCCGACATGCAGAGCATTGAGGCGGCTTCCGTGGAGGTCAATATGACGGGAGGTGTACCGTTGAAGATCACATCGGTGTATGTCAGATGTGGTGCCAGGCTGCAGGAGGCGGACCTGGAAGTATGGACTACTCTGGTCCGCTTATTGTAGCAGGGGACTTCAACTGCAAACACAGCTTGTCATTCTAGGTTGAATTCCACCAGTGGGATTCGACTGTACAACCATGTGATACGAAACGGCTACCTCATACACAGTACTGAAGAACCCACGCACCACCTAAATAATCACCTTCAGGCACCAGATGTCATCGACTTTGCAATATCTAAAAACTGTAGATACAGTATCACTTGTTGAATCATGTATGAAATTTCTAGCGATCATCTTTCTGTCGTACTGAAAAAGTGGGTAATGAGCAAACCTTGGAAGAGGGAACTTCTACAAGGAAATGGGTTGATTGGGAACTATACAAGTTGTTTCTTAGAGAGTTCCCCGATATCCCGATCATAGATAATCAGAACGGTATAGATGCGGATCAAGCGGAATGGACAAGCTTCGTTCAGCAAGCTCTGCAGCGTGCAGCTGTACTTCCTGTACAACAACCCGGCAGACCTTTTCTCCTTGCAGACATTCGTCAGAAAATGTCTGACAAAAGGGCTGCAATTAAGCAAGCGAAAAGGTCTTGTCATCCTGATGACATTCGCAGAGCAATGAATCTTGTTCATGAAGTAAGAAATGCTCTCCACGAATTCCGCAATGAGCAATGGAACAACTTTCTGGCGGGAATGCTTGACTCAAGTACTCCTCTTTGGAAAGTGGCGAAGTCGCTCAGAAACGGAAAGCGAGGACAACTCCCGCAGATTCACCGAGGCATGGTCTTCAGGACAGAGGACAAGGTCGAGGTTTTTGCTGATGCTATGGAACGACAGTTCTCTCCCAACTATGATCTTGATAATGATCTCGACGAGGAGCAACAAATTGTAAGATCCGTCAGGAGATATTTTAGGGCCAACGGCGTCAGTGATCCCGTCGCCGCCATTAGTGATTCTTCCTCAGAAGATTCTTCAGCTGAAGAGTTGCACACCACATCAGCGGCTTCTCCCGAGATCCCGCATTGCACACCAGCAGAGCTTCAAGGTCATATTAAAGACCTCAAGGTGCGTAAAGCGCCTGGGGAGGATCAAATCACTAATAAGGCGCTGAAGTTGCTTTCACGGAAGTCCTTGACTTATCTCGTGGCTATTATCAATGCCATGCTAAGGACCCAATACTTTCCATCGGCGTGGAAGACTGCGGAAGTTATAACGATTCCAAAGAAGGTGGGTTCGATATTTCTCTAAGCTCGCTGAAAAGGTGATTCTACGTCACCTTGCGAATTTCTCGTTAGATCACCATGTGATTCCTGACGTGGAATTTGGATTTCGGTCTGAGTATAGTACGGAGTTACAGGCGGTTAGGCTTGTGGAGCGAGTAACCAGCGGCTTCACCCTTGACGAAAGTACTGGCATCTTGCTTCTGGATGCCTCGAAGGCATTTGATAAGGTGTGGCACAAGGGCCTTCTCTATAAACTAATTCAAAAGGGCTTTCCATTTTGGTTCCCAAAACTTTTGAAATCCTTCCTTGTAGGTAGGAAATTTCGGATCATAATTAATAATTTCTTGTCGACAGTACGGCCCATCAGTGCCGGCGTCCCTCAGGGTTCGGTTTTAGGGCCAATCCTTTACTCACTTTTCACGCAAGATGTCCCTTGCCCTAGCGACTGTGAAGTCTATCTATATGCTGATGACACTGCACTGGTTCACCACAAGTTACAAAGTGCGGTGGATGAGGTATCGGAATGGGCAGATCGGTGGCTAATCAAAATTAATTACACGAAAACGCAGGCTATCTATTGTACTGAAAAACGTAGCGGCGCCCCGCCTGAGGTTTCAGTGAATGGAGCTCGCGTACCGTGGGGAAATTCTGCTAAGTATCTCGGTGTCACTCTTGACAGGGGGATGATCTGGCAGAATAACACTGAAGCGTTAAAAAAAATTCCAAATTACGTTTCGGCAACTCTACCCTTTACTATGTAGAACCTCAAAATTAAGTGTATTTAACAAAGTTCGGCTATACAAGATGGCTATCAGACCAGCAATCACCTACGCATGTGCAGCATGGTATTTTCTTGCCAAAACGCATATGCGTAATCTGCACGTTTTACAGAACAGAACCTTGCGAACCATCACTAACACACCATAGTATGTCTAACACGAAACCCTTCAAAGAGACCTCGACATCTCTTACATCAGGGACTACATCAAACATCAGGCGCAGTTACGTTACAGTCAAGCGGAATCGCACAGCAACCCTCTGTTGCGTGAGTCAGTAGACTACACAGTCGAGCAAGTTCGCAAGCACACAAGACCGCGGCTCGCACTGTGATCAAAATCAAATCGTGCAATTCTAGATCCAACCAAAATTACTATTTTTGCCACACATCATAAATTAATTTTTGGATTAATTTAAAATAACCGAATACCAGCTAATAATAGCAAGGCATCCCCTTAACCGGCGCACTTCACCCTCTTTGCTCTTACCCCTTCCTTCCTTTCTTTCTCCCTGACTTCGTCTGGTATCTGGGCAACCAGACCTGACAGACCTACTGACCTGCTATACTTTCACAAAGAGCGAAGGTCCCACGGACCGCTCTGACGGACAATGATGAATAGAACAATACACCAAGAAAACATCAATCACCTAATCCAATCAATGCCGCGACGACTTAACGAATGTGTATGCGAACAGAAGAGCTTCAACACATTATTAACATTAAGGTGGGATATCTCAGCTATTTTGTAAAATTTCAAGTTAAAATTTTAATCACTTTCTATTTATCAGTAGACCTAAAACTTGTAAAAGTATGCTCAAAATTAAAGCACTCCTAGTCGGTGTAGCATTTTCTGTCATTTAATATAAATAAAGTAGGTTGATCTAGATCTGTTTGTTTTCTGTCTCCGTGAGCATGGCCAATGTTATACGATGACGCCGTTGCTTGTTAGCAATCAGCTTGCAGTACAGGTCTTGTGACAGGCAACGGAACGCAATCAACGGTGGATGTGAATGTTGACACCTGAAACTCATCCTGTGGTTGTCTCGATGGTGAATCTCCATGTTCCACTGGCTGTCAAATAAAGCCGCAGATGAAGAATTGAAGGTTTACTACCGTGTCTACCATCTCGGTGGACTTGTTCAAAGTTCGAATGACAATGACATAGATCTTATAGTTATTGTAACTTTATACGAGGTTTGTCCGGAAAATACGTATAAAAGTGCAATAACTTTATTTTACAATTGTTCAGGTATTTCAATATGGTCTCCTTCAAAGTACTCCCCCTGAGACAAGATGCACTTCTGCCAACGCCGTTTCCACTGTTGATACGATCGCTGAAAGTCTTCAATTGTGAGGCTCTTCATTTGCCGTGTCGTTTTTGGGAGCAGGAAGAAGTCGCAAGTGGCTAATTCGGCTGAATAAGGCGGGTGTTCTTTCACGGTGATTGAGCTTCGGGCCAAAAACTCACGCACAAGAGACGTGTGAGCAGGAGCGTTGTCGTGATGAAGGATCCACCTGCACCTTGTACCAAATCCGATCGAACTCGGGCCACACGAGCTCTGAGACGACGCAAAACTTCAATGTAGAAATTTCAGTTCACTGTCTGGCCGGGAAGGACAAATTCCTGGGAAACAATGTCCCGAGAATCAAAGAAAACAATCAATATTGTCTTAGACCTTAATTTTTTCGACTTTTTTGTTTTCGGTTCCCCTTCTTGCTTCCACTTCATGCTTTGAGAGAATTGTCTCCAAAAGCTTGTTCCAAACACTGAAAAATCTCACGGCCATTCTTGCCTAGCTTTGAAAGAAACTTGATGTTGATGCGCTGTTCCTCGATCAGATAGAGCTCCATGCCGACGGCAGGTGAAAAACTGTTACATTCCACCAGCACACGTAAATCCTACTTACTCGCAGAGCGCTCAGGCTCGCACTGAGCATAGAAGGAATTGCATAGAGAGAGGGAACTACCGGACCAACCCTCCACAACGCCTTGATACGACGCGCCGAATTTTTTATGCGTATTTTCCGGCAAACCTCGTATTTATCTGTCTTCCAGGTTACTAAGCAGTTGGTTTCAATAATAGTTCTAACGGTCCCATAATTACAAAGTTGAGGGCCGCCTCTGCTCCCAAAAGGCGTCCAGCGTCTCCAAAGCGATGTGCGAGCATAAGGGTATCTGTTTCTGACACTCCGATATCATCCAGACCAATAAATCAAAATGATAAGTTGAATACTACTACTTTTTTGCTAACGTCAATGAGGATTTTCAATGTACTAAAAAACTCAGAACCATATTTTTTGGCTTGTGCTTTTAACACTGAATTCCAAACTTCAGTGAGGTAATATATCCAACATCTACAGTTTGACTGCGGCGATATGAAAATAATTGTTTTTTTTTTCTATCCATGTATTCTAATTGCGGAATTTTTCGATATTTTATTCCCGGCTAATCGCAGCAGTGGCTACTTTTGATGAAGTAATATGCTCTGGCGCCGTAGTAGAAAATTATATCCTCGAAAATCCAATGATTGACTGTGGAGTAAGCAACAAGCAATCAAGTCATCTCCAAATCCAGTTTTATGATGGATTTTTTCTAAATCGGCGAATATCTAAAGAAATAGTTTGTGCATCTTGCGAATTTCATGAGTAAGTTATGGTTTACACTAGAAAAACTGAAAGAAAAATGTCAAAATATTTTTATATCTCTAAAAACCACCGCTGGCCTAGAGATATTGCACAAACTTTATCACAAAATTCATTAGAAGTATGATGCAAAAAGAAGTTTGCACTGACAAAATATTTAAATTACAATCATTGCTACGATGGCGGTCAAATCAAAGGTTATTGTAAAAAACATCAATTCATTCTTCAATTGATATCCCGTTTTCATAGGGTGTTGCAACTGCAGCTTTATATTGGTTTTTGTAGAAGGGATCAAAACCAAGGAACTTCTTCCTACCATAGAAGACGAAAATAACTATGTTTCAATCATGGTTTGCCAACACCTCTAGCGGGGAACTCTAAGCGCCACTATGACACAAAGGATAAATTTTATTCACATTTAATACTTATTGAAGTACTTACCACTGTGTACAGTTAGACAGATCAACCCCTGTGAGTGCTTTGCATGTCCTGATAGCAGTTTTTATAAGTACGGCTGGATCCTTGTCTGGATTAGCACCGTCCAAAGACGGACTCCACGGTCCACCAATAGCCATTGTCTCGTTTTTACCTCGCAATCCAACCAAGAAGTTGATCAGCCTTGTCGGGTGGATGTAATCGCGTTCCTCACTGTCCCTGTCTTTGTCACGTTTTTCTTTGTCTTCCAGGACTCCGCAGCACTTTTGATACAACTCGTCCATACCGGGTACACTCATTAACATAACCTTGACAAAAATACGACAAAAATAGAACCACAACAAATATAGAACCTATAAGTTTTTTCTTAACAGGATTTTCTAGGATTCTTACAAAATGCAATAGTCATGAAAAGGTATTTTACGCTTCCTACTTAAGCGTGATTTCTTAGTTATATTGGGACAGTGTGACACCTGGTATAAGTGATTGAAAGAGCGACCGTAACTTGGGCCTGACATATTTAATTTAGTTGTTTACAAATAATTATAGAGTTACCAGTAGAAGGGGCGCTGGCGAAAAAACCTTTGATCTTCTGACTTCTAAAGATGCCTACATTTTTTATACTCCAGCACCACGAAGGCCTAAACACCCATCGGGTATCGTTAGGCCATGAGATACAGGGGAAAGGGGGGAGCTACATGGACTCCAGGGTGGGAGCACGTGTGCATGCAAGATGCGCACATTCTGGCCCCGCCTACGCGATCTCCCGAGTGGTACCTCCGCGAACGACAGTCAGAGACCGTCTACCATCTACGGACAATCACAACATCCATAGGCAAGAGAAAAATTTCTCTTGGGACGGGATTTGAAACCGCGCAGCACCCGACAAATGATTAGGGAGACCGTAGCTCCACCGCTGCTGTCTCTCTAAGATAAGATAAATGCCGTTAATTATAAGCAGAATTACATTCATTTCCAACAAGATGGTGCACCGCCGCTCGATAGACACCTATTTCCCGAATCGCTGAACTGGAAGACGAGGCCCCATCGCGTGGCCGCCGAGATCTCCTGACCTAAGTCCTTTAGATTACTTTCTTTGGGGGCATTTGCAAAGGAAATTTCTTAGTACGAAGCCAGATTCTTTTCAAGATCTTCGTCAGCGGATTACGGCTGAATGTACACAAATAACTCAAGACATGCTTGGAAATGTGAGGAATAGATTCGAACAAATTCTTTATTATTGAATGGAGGTAAATGAACACCACTTTCAGAACTTATTATCACATTCACCTACCTCTTTATAGCAAATTAAATTTTACTTTTAACTTTAATGCTGATGTTCTTCAAGAAATGAGATAAGAAAGACCCCAATAATTATCGAGCAATAAATCTGTTAAATACAACACTCAAATTGACAAGAATAATAGCGACAAAAATAAACGAACGAATAACTCTGCAAGAGGAACAGCAAGGATTCCGGACAGGAAGATCATGCACGGGTGCAGTTTTTGTAATAAGACAAACAAAAGAAAAATCGCTGGAATACATCAAACCAGCATATATGTCCCTGATAGATTTTAAGAAAGCGTTTGATAGAGTGAGAATTCGGGACGCGATATATTTATTCTATGACAGGGGAATACCACTGGATTTAGTACAAACTATTGAGAATATATTTAAAGATAACATAGCTATGGTAAGATGTAAAGAAAAACTCTCGCAACCTATCAAGTATGAAACTGGCATTAGACAAGGAGATTCGCTGAGCCCACTAATATTTAATCTGATAATGAATGAATTCTTAAAGAAAGTTAAAAAAAGAAGAGGATATAGAATGAGAGAAAAGGAAATGCAGATAATATGCTACGCCGATGACGGCATAATAATAGCCGAAAATGAAGATACCTACAAAGAGTAATTAAAGAATTCGCAGATTTGACGCTCATATACAACATGGTGATTTCAACAGAGAAAACTAAATCGATAGTAATATCACCGGAACCGAGACGATGTAAACTGGTCGTAAGTAACAAAATAATAGAACAAGTGATGGAAACGGAATACTTAGGAATCAATTTGTCAAGCTATGGAAAAGTGGAAGAAAAATTACAAAAACAAGTGAACATGGCGAACAGAGCAGCAGATGTCTCAACAATACAATCTGGAGAAACAAATACCTCACAACGGAAACGATAACTAGGATATATAAATCAACCAATAAGACCGATAATGACGTACACAGCGTTGGGAGCAATTTGTTGGCTAAAGTAGAAAATTGCACAGCAAAACAACAAGGCTCGGGTTTGTTTTATAAACGTTACCATGGATGCCACAACACAACCATTTCGACTAACGTGCAAATATGCCGTATAAAATAGTTGTATAAACGTTTATGCAACAGTTAGAAATTTGCCCTATAAGGTGTTGTATAACTATGCTATAAGAATATTTTAAACACTTCATTTTAGAGCAAATCTGTTTCAGAAAGCAAATCTGCATTCCACACAACATTAAGCCAGCATTTTTGTGTTCAGGCAACAACAATAGAGAGATTTTATGGCTGAACGGTTCTTTTACCAAAAGCTATACCACTACTTTGCTAGTTGGGTACTTATATCGGATATCTTTAAAAAGTCCTGTTTACTTTGCGACAGACCTCGAACAAACGAAATCACGTACTCAAGTTACCTTTGCTGAAAAGGAGTAATCAGCATCCGGCGGCTCCAGCACGGCAGTGTTTTCTGTCACAGGTTCTATATCCTTGCCCATAACATGGAAAGAGCATGACTTGTTCAGGGCGAATGGTTTGTCGGGAGGGAAAGAATCTACCCATTTCGTGCTTGTGAAGAAGAAATCGGACGGAATATACAGATTACTATAGCGTCTACGTAGCTCCAAAACGTCAGCATTGGCGCTGAAATAAAAAAGAATATGTTTTACTAAACATGCATCACGAGAGTAGAAGTTCTTGGTGATATTGGGCGGGAAGAGACCTCTTCAAATGTACATAACAATAAAACCAAGGGCCCTTTTCTGCATTCCAGTGACGCACAAACCCTATATACCGCGAGAATCGACGAACGAGAAAAAGTTGACCCCAAAATGCAACTTGATTTTAGTCTCAGCGCACATTTCTCCAAAACAAAAGTTGGTATATAGTATGACGTCGAAGTCCTTAGCGGCCGTATTATCAGTCGTTCTTATAATTGTAGGACGCCTTTATGGCCTCCTTGATTTTCATAGTCTATCTCCTTCAGAAAGGCTGGGGTATTTCTTTTTGAATTGTAGGAAATTTCAGGCTGCTATAAAAGACGATATAAATCGAAAGCATGAACAATTTGATGCAAATAGATATTTGTAATACGATCTCAGAATGGTGCGCTGCCACGGAACATTACAAAACTATGAAAATCAGGGAGGCCGTAAAAGCCTCCTACAATAATTGTAGAAACGACTGACGATACGGCTCTAAAATAAACATTAATTTTACGTGTGAGTCGCTGGTAAGTTGGTTCAACCGCGATAAAAGCGGCGCGGTGGCACACAGCCAAAGGTGCACCGAGTGTGTGTATAGCCGTACAATACAGGGTGATTCAAAAATAAGATATTGCAATACATCTTAGATTATTGAATGAAACCCCCATTTTTTTAATCTTTCGATTTTCAAAGAAGTTTTTGAGTTTATAATAAAATTCTAGAAATTGTGATAATAAGGGGTTAATTAAATAGTAACAAGTCTCCGAGTATTAAAAATAAAAAAACAACTTACACTTTACACGCACATCAAAGTTAATGTAAAAATTAATTTACTATAAAGAGGTAAGTCGATGTGATAATAAATGATGAAAGTGGAGTCCATTTAACTCCATGCAATAATAAAGATATTGTTCGAATCTATTCCTCACATTTTCAAGCATGTCTTGACTTATTTGTCTACATTCAGCCATAATCCGCTGACGAAGATCTTGAATGGAATCTGGCTTCATACTAAAAACTTTTCTATTCAAATTCCCCCAAAGAAAGTAAAGACTTACGGGGATCTCTGCCAATCCACTGACTCGGGAAATGGGTGTCCAAAAACTGGAGCCACATAGTGCGGCAGTGCACAATCTTGGAAATGAATGTAAGTTTCATTATAATTAACGTCATTTTCTATTATTTTGGTAACTCGTGGTTCTATTGTATTTTGTAATATGTTCCAGTACTTCTCGCCCGTCAAGTTTCCAGGAATGAAGCAAGGTAATACAATACGATTTCCGAAAATTCCATTTATTTTTTCAGGATATTATCGTCTTCATTAAGCTCATCGACAAGTTTTATCTTGTACTGGTGAAATTTATTGTATTTCAAAATTATTTGTACTGTTGAGTAAGTAAATGCTGAAGAAGTAGCCAGTCCAGGAGTGATTTTGGTCTTGTCATGTGCTACGTTCGGCTCCATTTCTAACTGGTCTCTCGATGGTTTTCTCGATGGCGATTACGGCAAATGTTAGACACAGATCCAATTTCTTCGAATTTTCTTATCAACTTGACCACATACTTATCGTTAATATTTTTGTCTGGATGTAATCCATTAAACAACCGGGCAGTAACTCTTGCAATGCTCCCATTTTGGTGGAATAGGCCAGTTAAATAGCCGAAACTGAGACAAAAGTGATAACATGGCCACAAAGTTATTTCCGCTGGCGTAATGGTGTAATAAAGGATTGCGAATATTGTTGTATGAATTTGGTTTTCCGGAAACCAGCCGTTTTTTGTAAATCAGCGAAAAACCCGAAAAACCTCTTTTTCGCTGAAACGGCTGAGGATATCTGGGATTTTTTTACACGTAAATTTTTCTAATTTTTGGGCCATCAATAAAGGTCTCTACAAATTTTTCGCTAAATTGCTTAGTTTTCGCGCTACAGCTTGCTGATGGCTTGTGGGCGAGGGGGTTTGCGGGGACAGAGGCGGCGTACCTGCATACCACCAAGCTGCCGCCACACCGCCTACGCGTTGACGACGCAGACGATCACTTACTATATGGTAGCGGTTATTCAGTAATAGTAGAGTTGAATTTCGAACCCTGAGCTCGCTTGTCAGTTTGGCGTTCACCGACTTTTACGAAAGAACTAATTTTCGAAGTTTATGCGTTTAAGTATGTGGAGTAATTTCTCTTCAATTGCTTGTCGATTGACTGGATAAGTGAGGTAAGTATGTGTACATTTTAGAATTGAAATTAAATATTTTATTCCGTAATTTCATTGGAGACAAGGAATTAAGGACAAAGCCAACCTAAAATTCGAAAAGTTATCCGCCATGGATTTTTTAACGAAATTTGTTTTCATTTTCCAATGTTAGTATAGTATTTTTTAATAATAAGTAGTGCAGTCCAAATTCAGTATATGTTGTCCAAAATTCAGCATGTCTTGGAATTCCATTAGCACTATGTTCTGATATTAATAACAAAAATCAGACAAATTAGACTTACTGGATCGAAAATTGCATTACACTTACTGGATACCGATTCTCACTGAAATTGTTTCTGTTATTCAATAGGAATAAAATGCAGCAAAATAGTAACTGCGCCATTTGCAGTTATCCGATGGCGCGCGGCAATTGCAGGATCGTGGGGAAGAAGGGAATTAGTACACTGATCACACAGAGCAAACGCGTGGAACACAAAAAATGGTTGGATTGGGAAAAAAAGGAAAAACTGGACTGCCATGAGAAGTGTAGACTTTCATACTCGGTCAGTGGAACGTATACTCAGCATTTTGCGTTGAATGCACCAAATAACAATGTCGTAGCTGCAAGGGATGAGGTTCCTGATTTCCATTACGCTGATAATTGCTTCATTTGTGGTTTGAGTATAATAAAAGATGCGAAAACAAAAATCTGTACAGTCACACAAAAAGAGACGCGTGATAACTTGATTGCAATGGGAAAGGAAAGAAATGACTCTTTGGGAATTAGCGTTGTTGAAAGATTAGAGAACATTTCTTGCTTAATTCGCGTACAAGGCAGATACCACCGGACATGCATGTCTCATTTCAATGCGTATGGTTTAAAAAAAAAATATCGATGATCTAAACTGGTCTAGAATCGATTCATTGTTAGAACCTGTGTGGCAAGTTCTTGAAGAAGACAAAAATGTTATTCATTATTTGTCGAAGTTAGTAGAACTTGTGGATGATGACTCTATAGATAGAAGGACTGTAGCAGATCACATTAAAAAACGTTACGGTGAGGAAGTTGAGTGCAGTATAATGGGGGGAAAAGATATACGTGTATGCTTCAAAAGTCATCATGTTTTTAATGTGTCAGCAGACCCATCAACTTTCACAGAAGGGCAGATACAAGTTATTTTGCTTCAGGCCTCAAATATAATGCACAGAGAGATTCGTAGCAAGCAATTTGTAAGCGATAAGTACCCACCGTCCAATCAATTTGTAAGCGATCTTTCCTCCGATTATCCACCCCACTTTTCGTTCTTTATTGAGCAGTTTCTCCTTATCGCTGACGAAGAGGAAGATAAAAAAGCAAGGTTGTGAAGCGAGACATGATATCTCAATGCATACTTTCATTCATTCAGCCACGTACGTTTTTGTCCACCCTCCACTTGTCGATTGGGACATTGATTCTGAGAAAAACAGGTTCCAAGTACATCATAAATCTTCTGCATGCATTAGGCGTTTGCACTTCTTACTACAATATTGAATTGTATGAGGCTTCAACAATAGTGAATCCACCCAGATTGATCATCGAAAAACCTTTCGTACAATTTGTATTTGATAATACTGACCACAACGTCAGGACCCTGGACGGACGGGAGACTTTCCATTGTTTAGGCGGAATACAGGTTTACACTCCGGAGCACGAAATCACACAATGTGGAAGTGTCGAAAAACTTACTGAGATGCCTTCCGCAAATATCCTGGCAAAGCAAGAACAAATTCCAATCTTCCCTTACGTCGAGCCGCCAAAAGAGGGCTTGAAACTTATAGAATTCATCGATACAAATTTACTGACCATGGTCGACATGCCTCTATTCCCCCCTACTTACTCAACTTATTTGTGGGCTAAATACGTTGATCCTGAGAATGTACCAGCATGGCGAGGTTTCATGGAGATATGTTCGGAAAATGAAAGTTTCCAAAGGTCGGGGGTGCAATGCCAACAATTCATTAACGAAGTTCCATCTAGTCTAACAACCATTTATACATCAATCATGCATGCAAAGAGCGAAACCTGTAAATGTGGTCAAAAAACCACTATCTTAACTTACTACTTGCCGTTGTACATGAAATGTCGCGATATTATAGCGAAGTTAATGTTGCCCGACGTTTTTGTTCGCTTAGGCGGATTCCACATGTTAATGTCTTTTTTGGGAGCAATAGGTATTATCATGGGAGGAAGCGGACTTGAATCTATGTGGGAGCTTGCTTACGCTAGTGAATCCATAAAGAAAATGATGGACGGGCACAATTATTCAAGAGCAGTCCGAGCACACATTTTGACGTTTACAGCTTTAGGCATCGTAATTTGTGATTCAATCGAAGAAAAAGGCGAGATCAAAGGGGTTATCGCATCATTGATGCGTGTCTGGCAGAAAAATCCTCTCAAGCTAGGGGACAGTGACTCTGATAAGGACCTGAAGAAAATGTCTGATTTGTTTTATACAAAGTTGAAGCAATTGAAAAATAACGGCCCAACAGCCAAGTTGTGGGTGCAGTACATTGAAGCCGTGCTTATTGTCTTGCGTTTTATTGAAGCAGAACGTCTTGGAAACTGGGACCTTCATCTTGATGGCGTTCGAAGAATGTTGCCATTGTTTCATGCCGCGGGACATTTTCAATATGCAAAAGCAGCTCAGATTTATTTGCAGGATATGGTACTTCTACAGGACATCATGGATCCTCAAGAGTTTCACCAG